ATATACAGCACAATGTACCATCAGCTATAGAGGAATACAAATCCCAGCAATACATTATAGAGCACCACGTGTGGAAAAGCTTACCTGAGCAGTCTTCCAGCAACTTGCTTCTGAGATCGGACCTGTCTATCGGCGGCTGTCATCACCCCACATCTGCTCCTCCTTACTACATCTCCCTGTGCGTCCCTTTGCCGATCGTGGATGTGGGTGGGTGGGCGGTGAGTGTGAGGCGGGGAGGAGTTGCGGCGTGTGGATGCTGGCAGGCGGGACTGGCATCGGCGAGCGTGAGGTGGGGAGGAGGTGCGGCGCACAGCGTGTGGAGCTGTGAACAGGGCCAACTGATCGGAAGCCGAATAATCGATTATTGAAAAAGTTGACAACTTTTTCAATAATCGATTATAATCGATTATGTCGATTAGTTGTTGCAGCCCTACTAGCAGATATAGATGGACTTGACTAATTATAGGTAACAACTAACACTTTTTTAGGCCTTAAAGGATTTTTAGTTTTTTGTGAATAATGGTTTGTCTCAAACCTCCATCTTCCACTTTTACTAAGCAGTTTGGTCTGTTAAGTGAAGTTGAAAAATAACAGCATTATGGTCAGATCACCAGGTGAAAAAAAAGCCAAAATGCAGCCATCACTTATGAATTTATGAGTTTCAATATATTACATTTTTGCTTTTGGGATTAGATGCGCTTTAATTTTATGCTTTTAGTATACAAAATTTTTGGAGTTTTCACAATGCTGATGCTTATTGTATTATGTTTTTACTATATCTCATAGATTTGTAGCCAGTATAGAATTTACCTATCTGTATGTGACAATATAGTCAGCATCCATGCTTAACAAGTGTTATGGAAGAATCGATAAACCTATCTGAAAATGAAGAGTGTATTTTATGCAAAAATATGAGTAGTGTGAACCAGAAAGGTTTTTCATCACTGAAATTAATTTGCATTGTGTGATCTTGCCAATAGGCAGTCATTTAGAAAATCGAACATTCGCTTAGCCATTTAGCTTTGCATCCTACAAAGTAAGCACAACATGCATATGTAATGAACAAATATACCAACTCACTATGCATATGTTTTATACTTTAAAGATCAAAGAGCCAAGTGGATCACATAGTCAGGTTGAAAAAACAAAACAAAATCCATGAAGTTCAACCTATAAAGATAAGAGAAAAAACATTTGAAAAAACATAATTACATGGTGGCATTTAACTTTACGCAGATTCCCTTGTAAATAATGAGAGGAAAAATTAGAATGCAGCGGTTTTAAAAGTGAGCCAAATGTTAAGCCACTTTTCCTTTTCTAAGACCACCACAGAATGGATAGAATAAAATGCCTATATTGGGAAAATTATTCGGGGGTTAAAATATTCTATTGTGTGTAAAATATTTTGTCTTTTATGTATGCAGTAGGTTTGCTTTAACATTTTATAGATATGCACAGGGAGAACTGTGCATCTGTGGCTAATGGTTGGCATACAATGCCATGCAGCACTATTTCAGCATTTGTTATACTGTTAGTGAGGATTACTGACTGTGTAAACTGTGCTGCACGTTTCTTTACAAGGTAGCTTGGATGCTGTGATGACAAACGGATCCACGATCGAATATTCTAGAGAAAAGAGGGTTCGTAGAGCTGCAACTTCTAGGACGGAGAGAATATGGCCCGGAGGAGTCATACCTTATGTCATTGGAGGAAACTTTACTGGTTAGAATATTTTCCGCTTCTAACACTTCTATTATTTTTTTTGTAGTCGTCATTCAATTAAACTATAAGAACATATAGATCTTATACATGTGAAATAGCAATGTTTGTTAGGCCATTTTTTTAATCTTACCAGCTAATGCAGATTTACACATTTTACAGTTCACCATATTTCTTTCCTTTTATGGTTTATTTATGCTATCTATTTTAGCAATTTAAAAATTTGTAGCTTTAAATATATATAGGCTTGATACCTTGTATAAACATCTTTATCATAGCTTTTTTTTTTTTTTTAACATAGTGCCAGAATATTAGTATATTTAGCCCCATTTAGGGAGAAAGCTAAATGAATAAATTAAGCAAGTTCCTGCCTTTTAAAGAAATGCCAATTGATTGTTTCTAACAAAGTTCCACAGATAGTCACTCCACTGAGGGCAATTTTGCTTGGTAACCAGTTAAAGGACATACATCTTTCCATTGGCCTGTTGAATGTATGCCTGTACAGTACCAGTTAAGCAAATGCAGCCTACCTTACTGATGGTTGGTCATGTACTCTAGAAGTTCAGTACTAATTTATGGCTTCTCTATTTGTTGTTGTTATGACAAAGATCAGGATACAGCTACAGATCCATAGGCAGTTAACTGTTACTATTAAATAGGTTTTATAAAGAAGATAATGTTTTTACAAGGGGTAAGGCAACAAAGGGAAAAGGTGAACAACCTTCACAGCTACAGATAGTGACATTAGGTGACACAAGTCTAATGCAAACAAAAAAAATTCCACGTATGTCCATATAATAGTTGACATATATAGTCATGGCTGCCAGGCACAGGTGTACTCTAATCTAGTCCACTTTAAATATTTTATAGTTAGTTACAAACTCAAAGTTCCTATTTAATCTACAAACATGGAGTTTGTTGCATTTTTTTGGATTGTGGGTGGAAGGCCAAGACATTTTTATAAACAAACTTGGGCTTCATTGCTTACAGTTTGACTTGTAGAGTTGGAGATTAAGAAGTTTACTAATTATTGTTGTCTTTCTTGATGACAATTCTACCTTGAGAGTTTTTCCAACTTATGAGAATGTAGAAAGCCTCACTATAATGCACCTCTTTATTGTTTTCATGTTACAAGTTTGGTTACTAAAAACATGTAATATGGTAGTTCCTAATATGGCTGTTTTATTAAATCTAGCTAAGCTTACAGAAGAAAATATGTACCGACAAGGTAGTTTTATGTGTTGAATTGCTGTCTGTTATTGTTGTGTTTTTATACTTTTTTTTTTAACACCTTAGGAGCTGTTCATATTTGATTTGTCTGATGTTTATAGGTCCTCAAAGAGCAATCTTTAGACAAGCTATGAGGCACTGGGAAAGATATACCTGTGTAACATTTATTGAAAGAACTGATGAGGAAAGTTACATCATATTTACGTACAGAACATGTGGGTAAGTATAAGTATGAATGTTAAAAGTGGGAAGTAATTATTAGATTGTATAGTAGTTGATTTACTTTCTTTACTTAATGTGAAAAGTTATCACGCTTATTACACTTCTCTGAACTAAAATGATAAAACAATGACATAAGCTTTCTCTGCTATCTGCATTGAGTCACTGAATGCCTCCTACCTGTGTAATGGAGATGAAGAGAGGGAAAAGTTTTTGTAGTGCAGATCAGCAGAGAAGCCTAGGGTGATAACACTGATCTTCCATAAATACAGTGAGTGGGCTTTGTCACCTTAGGACAGGAAGTGTGTCCTTGACGAGATCACCAGGTTAAAATAAAGAAGCCTGAAAAAAGATATCAAATGCATCCTCCATATCCAAGGACTAGTAAATTATAGTATATTACATTTTTGTTCTTGGGTTTAGATGCACTCTAAGTCATGAAAACTAATTTCTGTGATTAGATTTATATATGCCATGTCTATTGTGGAATGTGAACTTGTCTTTTTTTGGGAGCGACTAATGCATGCAGTTGACGATTTTAGTATCAGTATTTTTAAGACGAATTGCATGCATTTTGTTTTTGGCCATTTTTCTCATTGGAAAGTTTTCAAGTTTCTTTTGTGCAGTCTTTCCGCACCTATGTGCTTTGTAGTTTTCTATGTTATTTTTTTTATTAAAAAAAGGTATTTAATGACTACGTATTAATTAAAAAAAAAAAATTACAGTTATCATACTCGCCCAAATGCTCCGATACTTACCCCCAATACCGGAACTTCTAAGCAGAGGGAGGCTTCCCTGACCGGCTGATGGCTGGGAAATTTAAGAAGCCGGGCGGCGGGTAATGACGCCACCCGGCTTCCTGATTGGCTGGGTAGCCTACTCCATGCTAGTGGAAGTACCGGTATCAGCGAGTACCAAAAGATAAGTATTGCTACTTGATACCGAAAAAAACAGTATTGGTGATTCCCTAGTTATTCACAAAAACCTATATTTTACATCAGCAAAAATATTCCTTGACATTTGACAATTTTTTTGGCAGTGTCTCTATAGATATTGCAGCTCACATGTTATGGCTTTAACCCATAACTCCTTAACCCTTTTGCTGCCTCCTCCATAACTTAAATGCAACTGTACAGTGTTTGTGTGCTTTCAAATTTTTTTTTACTGAAAATATACGTTTTATAAACCATAGTGTAAATGGCCAATGACATCAAATAACAAAAAGACAATTTTTGCATTAAAAACATGCATATGATGTTTTTATATATAATGTGTGTGGTTGTGTAGAGCACAAGGCATACAAGTATGTACAGGACACATGTTGTAGAGCATTATTTATAATTGTTTTTAAAATCTTTTAAGCTGCTGTTCATATGTAGGTCGTCGTGGAGGAGGTCCTCAGGCTATATCCATAGGAAAAAACTGTGATAAATTTGGCATAGTGGTCCATGAATTGGGTCATGTTGTTGGCTTTTGGCATGAACATACCCGGCCTGACCGAGATGAGCATGTGACAATTGTGAGAGAAAACATACAGCAAGGTATGGATATGGGAATCTGCTGTGTATCATTCTTCTTCATACTTTTTATATTAATAAAGTAAAGATCACATGTTTGTTAAAGCAAATTATACTTATACAACTAGTCTACCCATGATCCATTTTTAAACACTTAGTAGGTAAAATGGAAAAAAAGTGTATTGTTTTATTCGATTTGAAAATACTACTTTGACCATATATTTGAAAATACTACTGTTTTTTTTTTTTCTTTTTGTTCTTTACGGACAGTGTGGAAATCCATTGAGTTGAGTTTTTATGCTTTCCTACTACTTAAAGCCCAGCTGAACTTTCAGGTTAAATACATTGCAGATGCATCAAAACAAAATCTTTGCAAAGACTTACATTTTGCTTTCTTCAGAAAGCTGCCACAGCCTGAGTAGAAAAACCTGTCCCTTGGCAGCATGCTACAGAAGGACTCTTGTTGTCTGTATGGAAGCAGTGGTCTCTCTGCAGTCAGAGCTAGAGCATTCCAAACAGCAGGGACCATGAGCTTTACTATTTGCACTGTTATATCTCTGACTCCGCAGGGGGCATGTCAGAACTTTCCGAACAGGCCCCTGCTTTTACACGATAACAAAGGTCCTTTAATGCAGCATGCTGTCAGGGGCAGGCTTTTGTACTTGGGTTGTGGCTGCTTTCTAAAGACAATGAATTGTAAGACTTTGAGCATGTTTTTGATCGGATGCAACTGGAATATATTTGGCTGATTTAGACTAAATATATCAACATTCATATCCTTTAAAGATCTTTTTAAAAAAGTCTACAATAAAATAAATATATACTCACCTAAAACTTGGTCCTGCCTGGCTGCTAGACCAGTCCCCATGGCCTCTTCTTCCCTGGGCTCCAGCGATCTAAGGACCTGTGACGGTATCATACCTATTCACTTGCACTGGACATGAGGATGCGGAGAGAGGTGAGCGGTCCCTGCCATCGGGTGAGTATATCTTCTTTTTTTAATTTTAGACCCTAGACCACAATGAGCACCTAACCCTTGCAGGGCGGGGGTAGCCCCACTGTAAAAGTTAATTTTGTACAGGCCCAGAGTTAAGTTTAAGTTTTTCAGATGTTTTTTTACAGATCTTTTACAATGTCAGTAATGGTACTTTTAGTCCAATTTCTGGAATGGTAGGTTTGTCACAATAATCATTTGGGGATGTGGTATCATTATTACTAACCAGTACAATAACATGGCTATTTTGAATGATTTAACTAAAGTTTAATTGGGCTTTATCCAGTTGACATCCGGGGGGTTAAACCCCCTTCCCATCCAGACCATTTTTCAGTATTCATCGCTGCGGTACTTTCACTGACATTTATTCCGTCATGCAACGCTGTACTGAAATTAATTTTATACCCTTTTTTGGGGACACATAGAGCTTTATTTTGGTGGTATTTATTCACCTGTACCTGTGCTATTATATAGGGGGATGGTATCCCCTATGTAACGGCAATTCGCGAGTGGCACTCGCGAACGGGGGGCGGGGTGGGGGGGTGCTCCGAAAATCACGCCGTACAACCGATCGGCGGCTATAGATCCGCTGATCGGTTGTATGTGAAACAGCCGTTAACGGCTGTAGAAACGAGTGGGTCTTTCCTGCCCATGCGCGCAAGCAGGAAAAAAATGCCGTCTGGACACGGCAACCCGCTGATGCGAGTCTGCCGTCCGTCCGTTTTTTCTTAACGGGCGAACGGCAAGAGGTTAAACAGAAACTGCTGTGGCTGATAATAACTTTAACAAATGTAGCTTCCGTCCTCCAACAGTAGTGGCTATCCTCTGATTTGTTTTATTGCTGTGGAACTGTACCTTTCAGGAGCATTAGAAGTGATATTTTCCCAGGACTAGTTTATGTCTTGGTGTTAATAGACTGACCATTGCTATTACAACATGGAAGCCATGACTGAAACAGATAAGGTCATCCTTGACAGAGTGTCACTGTGATTGAAGACTTGAGTATAGGGTAAAGGATGCTGCATTTGGTTTCAGACTGAATGGGTAGGGGAGGGTGGTAGTAAGCCTGCATGGTATGTCCATATTTAATCATGATCATGTATTTTGCTGGGAAAGGTTTTGGTATGCTTTTAAACCACAAGATTCTCATCAATACGGGACTGTAATCTTTTAAGGGTATTAAAGAGTGCAGAATCTAAGTCATATTAATAAAAAAGTAAAATGCTTTAGTACGTTGTGTTATTTATAGCCAATTTTCTGTGTATTATTGGCTTTAATAAGTTGTGTTATATTACAATTTTTTTTTCTTCATTTTTTAGGCATTCTCTATTAAAAATGAAATATATAGATTTAGCCTTTTGTGAACCAACTAAGTTTTGTTTTCGGTTTGATATGTTCATAGTTTGTTGTCATTGCAGGTCAGGAATACAACTTCCTTAAAATGGAGCCTGGAGAAGTGAACTCTTTGGGAGAGACATACGATTTTGATAGTATCATGCATTATGCCAGGAACACATTCTCAAGGTTGGAATCTAAGGTTATGTCTCTTAAGTTCTTCATAGTATTTCTTGTTATACATTTGTGTTACGAATAACATTCAAGTGCTTTTACATAGCACTGAATTTTGTTTTTGCCAGCGTCAATGTCATTATAGTTTTTAATAGTGCTGTTGACCCTGCCAGCAGACATATACAAGCAGTAAAACATACCATATTAATTATGGCATGGAAATTCTTAATGGAATAAAATTCACCAACTCCAATAAATTACAAGATTTTTTCCTACTTTACTGCCATATGGATCCTTAACTTTGATATTCATAGTGTACCAAAAGCCCAAACTTTTTATTTTTAGCTTTGGATTGAGTAGGAAAGGGTTGCAACCTCTTTCAGGTACTTATTGATCTCGGTTCCTGCTGGGAAGATTATCCTCCTTGGCTTGACTTCGTAACCATTGTCCATGGGACATAAAGTGAAGGAAAATCCAAAATTCTGAGTTGTTGCAAGAACAGGAATAGAAGAGAAGGTGCTACAGTTGGGACAGTTGTTTTGAGAGAGGCTATGAAAGGATAATCCCTCAAACTCAAAAGACTTTCCCTATTCCCTGTTGTTTCTACAGGAAGTGAAGAGAAATCTTCTTAATGGGACTTACACAACAAACATAAAAAAACAGATAGGGATTTTACCCTCCCTTTTCTTATCCAAAATATTTTTGTAAAAGTTTTGCTTTAGACATACTTTAATAAATCGGTTAAATAAAACTTTATCACAGATTTAACCTCCCTGGCGGTATTCCCAAGTGTGTTAATTTTCAGTACCAAGAGCGGTAACCCCCGAGCCACACTCGGGATTGAACAAAAGTGTCACTTACCTTGTCTCTACTAGCCCGCGGTGTCCTTTGCTGTACGCGGCCGGCCGATGCCGGCATCTGACATTTACTTTAGTTTTCGGCGTCACAGCGGGGGGCGGAGCTGGCGGGAAATGCAAAAGTGAAAAGATGCAATGTACACAGAATACACACAATGCAGTGTAATCTGCTATGATTACATTTATGTATCAAACTATTTCACTTCAATTTTGTCCCTAGAGCTTTGTCCAGTGCCCTGCCTGCACTTTTACTGTTCTTTCTGCCTGGAAACTTGAGAACGTCCTTGGCATCCAAAAAATGTCCCTTTTTATAAATTGCCATGAAAAACAATGTACCGCTTTGGCATGCTAAAATCCTGCATAATCATACCGTCAGGGAGGTTAATACACAAGATTGTCTGCCCTTTGATAGAGAGCATGTTGTGTTTCTTCAATTATCTACAATGGGTTCTGATACCTTGGAGAGTTGGCTCACAATTTCTTTTTTTCCCTGGGACTTGGCAAATTAAATAAATTTATAACAAATTAGATGTTGATTTTTTTTTTATGTGTTTACCCTTTGGGGCATATATAAGAGTAAGGTGTTATTAGTGATGTATTTCAATGCAAATGCTTCTCAGCACATTTTTCCCATGATTTATGCTTACGCTGTGAGAACTGGTAGAATACACATCTTTTTGTTTTCTTGGGTAAATCTTTTTATAGAGGAAATGCTTTCTAGCCTATACATTTGGCAAGGCAGCTGTGTTGGTGATTGTAATATAGCTCAGGCTTACCTCATACTGGGGTTGATTGTTAAGTGATTACATATATAGAAGCGGAAACTGTAAACTGATCTCATAGGGCAGCTGTAGGCAGGCTGAACATAATTCAGAAACTGACCACAAAAGCACAATTTGCTTGGTTAAGTGCCATATTTTTTCTTTCTATCAAATTCAACAAAACGGCTTAATTTGACATAAGGGACCTATCCGGTAAACACGTTTACTAGGAATGCTGCACAAAGCTGCATGATAAATGTACCAAATCACTTGTTCCTATGACCCTTGAATATAGTCAATTCATAATTGTAACTGGCATTAACTTGTTCCGTTTTAACAAGAGTACATGTTGTATGTGGATCCATCACAGCACTGAGGGTTTTTTTTTTTTTTTGGCTTCTGTTACATAGTTACATTTAAAGAATGTAATGTATTCTATTTGTAATATAAAAACTGCATACATTTGTAACTAGAGGGCTGGTTTGTCATTTTGTATTTTTTTACACAATGGTATACATGCCTTTTGGCTAACAAAAGCCTGTTGACATTTATTCTGGAATTCTAGACTATGACCGGGGTCTGCTTCATTTTATGCTCATGGAATAGACATGGATTATATTACTCCCTGTGATATCACTAGGCTTGTAAAATTCTTGTAGGGGCACTCAGCAGGGTGCTCTATGTCCGCTCCCATTGACCCCCAAAACTACATCTCACAAGAGGCATTTTCCTACATAGTGTGTGGGCAGGCTGTTGAGAGTCAAGGCAGCAGCATTACTTAGTGGGAAAGTTACTAATGTAACAGTGCTGGCACTGCAGGCTGCTAAACAGTTAATGTTCAAAGTTTACTGGTAGCACGCTCAAGCGAGTAGTTGGTCACATTCAACTGAACTTGTTTTGTAATGTTGATGGTGTTTCAACGCTCATCCAAGCAAAGTACTATTTCTTTAAACAAAACATTTTTTGGGATATTTGCTTGACAGCTTTGTATTTCATTCAACTCTGCAGTTGGTAGCAATTTTTTTCCAAAGCAATTGGCTGAGAAATTCAATTGTTTTATATAAGAATTGTGAAAGGAGTATATGTAATGCAGTAAATAACTTCAAATGACAACTGAAACAGTGCCTCAGTTGGATACCTTATAAAAAGTGAATTATGTAGGAAGGGACATATTTGCTTGAGCAACTCAACCAATGGATTGGCAGACAAATTATGCATTGATGTTTTTATAAACAGAAAAAAAATCTTGCATTAATCAAATCTTTGTTCAGATGAAGCCATCTTACAAGCTCTGCCGCTTTGAGGACCCCATCTCCCGGTAGACTACAAAGACAAACAGCATAATGCTTCATATCCAGTTTTGTCTACGACTTTAGGAATTAGCAGTTTGTCACCCAGCAAATAAAGTGCTTCTAGGAAGTAAATAATATTAATCTTCCCATCAGCTGAAAAGAATCATCTCTAGGAATGACAAGTATGTCATTGTGATCCATGAAAAGAGGCATTGTCGGGGGAACATACTTTATTTGGACGAATAAAATAGCTGAGAGAGAGTTGGAGACAAAAAATAAATACATTTGCTTCAATAGGTATTGTAAGTTGCTCAGCTGGGATGTAGTCTCTTTGCTCTGATTTAAAATATAAAAGTTCTTAATGTGCCCTTTAAAAAATGTTGTTCTACAGTTGACAATAAGACGCCAAATGATGTAATTTCTTTGTAGTTCCATAATTACACTTTGTGGTAAATCCAATAAATTATCTTGCTAAAGCCCTGAGAAGCAGTGGTGTGTGTCTGTATTGTGGACCTTGCAGCTCCATGATGGCCGAAACATAATAATTGTATCTGGACCACAGGATAACGGCAGAGTCCTGCTCCAGTGCTCTGCTAGAATAACTGCTTAATTCATTAGGAATTGCTGGGGTTACTTCAGAACTGCTATGTTCATCTATAAAGTAGTTTAACAGATTAGGAAAAGGGCAGTGAGAACTTCCCACCATACCAGGTTACAGTCCGTTATTTTTGAAATTGTGACTGCTAGTAAAATCAGAGATGACTATTAAAGGACGCAAAGGCTTTGAAAATAGTTAGGAATTACTCTTGCAGTTTTTTATAAATTGCCCAAAATCCATGTAAAAATTGACTGCACTAGATTTTATCTCCTTTTAAACAAGCTTTTTAGCATCTTAGTACATGAACTTATCTTGTACTGGAGGGCACACCTATGCTTTTTAAGGATTAGGTATCTGACAGATGCATGCTTCAGTAACCTAGTATATTGTGGCTTTATTTGAAGTTTTACTTTTGTATTGAATTATTTGTTTACTTAATAAAAAGTCGCTGACAAGTCTCTAAAGATAGGATCAATGGAGTGTGTTTAGAAGAGGATTATAGGTGCCTGGTCTTAAAACTTTAATGTGCTTACATATCTTTGTTGGACAAAAAGCTGGATTATGTTAGCTCATTTGCCAGGGAACGTACTGTTGATTAATCCTTCATTCAGCCAACACAAATATTCACTTTTTAGTGTATATAACATGGCATAAGTTGCACATCTCATTGTTTGGCTCATGCTTCCTTTTAACAGTGTTGAGCAGTGAAGAATCTGGAATTTTAAAATAAAAAAATCTGTTTAGCTTTGGTATTTCAAGATGACTAGTTGTGATTTCTATGGTTGTCCATTACCAAAAGCAGAGCTAATGTAACAAATCTGCATTCAATGAGGAGGCATAATCTATAAATACTGTTATTTTAAGCTGCTGTTAGGTGCACTATGTAGCCAGATTCATTGTGGCACAGCTCGGCCCAACTAAACCCGAAGGCAAAGTGTTAAAAATCTGTTAAGACCACCTTAAGTGTTCCTGATGAAAGCTGAAAGTCTCTGTCTTGGAAGCAGGCAGCTTTGCAATTCAAGACTAACATATTATAGAATCTGTTCCATACATGTTACTGAAAATAGTTGTATAGAATAGAGTTGACCACATAGTGTCTGTCAAGATGTTGATTCTTCTCTTTGTTGGTAATTGGAGTGGTATAAGTTCTACGCATTTCACGCTTGATGCGCTTATTCAGGAACTCAGTATAGGAGGAAATCACATTAGAAAACAATCAGTGAACATGTATGGGCAGAACATTAAACCATATGTTGTCCATATGGGGGATGAAGCCTAAAGCACAAGGAATTTCTTGCTATCTATCCTTCAGAGGTTTGTTCTGTTTGGATCAGACATCTTGACAGACACTATGTGGTCAAATCCTTTAGTCTGTTGGGGTAAAATTGAGGGGTAGTATGTGAGGGGTAGTATGTGGAGATTTAAAATTGTTATACTGTTACAATTTCCATATTTTTATTACCAATTTTAATCATGTTCTAATAATACTTTTTATACAGTTATGAAGTAAAGATGCTCTTTGGCTCTGTCATTCAGCAACTTTAAATGCCCCACCTATTATCTTTTGTCATATTCATAAATGTTACAGGTTGGTTGATTTTAGCTGTCAACAGCTGCTATAAAGCTTTTCTTAGCTTACAGGAAATATTTTGCTCTAAAGACCATTTCTCAGTTAGGCTCTGTAATGCATTGTGTTTTTAGAATGCATTATTTTTACAAGTTGGTTATCTTATTACATCCAACATTTCTATCACATCTCTGTTGTCACGGTAGTGGAAGGGTTTAATCTTAGGATCAGGCATGGGCGGACAAATATGGAATCCAAGAGCCAGTCTGTCTAATCCAGGAGTCAGCATGATATTTTTTTTCGGAGCTAGCTCAATTGACAACAAACCACAAAAGTTTTGTCACGAGCTGTAATTTTTAAGGAACATTGGCTACCTGGCTCCTTGGACTTGTCCAGCCCTGGGATAAGGAATGTTCTGTAATTTTTATTTTTGTTGTTCAATAAACTGATGTCTTTCCAAGCTCTGAAAAATCAAGATGGTGATATTAAAATCCAGCTTGAACATGAGGTTTGAGTGCTTTGGGAGGAGTCCTTGCAGAGGACAAATAAAGTACACTTTCTTCAATGACAATGCAGAATGTATATTTTAGGCACATATTGGGGATATTCTAACTAGCTTCTTCTGTAACATATTCCCTTTTCTCTGTAAACAGGAGTGTATATTTTGATACAATACTTCCCCGGAGAATTAATAACCATATTCGACCAACTATTGGGCAGCGCATTCGCCTCAGCCAAGGAGATATTGCTCAGGCAAAGAAACTGTATAAGTGTCCAGGTAATACTTCTTTTTTTCTACTCCAGGGTACATATTATTGGGAGAATGAAATCTGGCTTTTATCTAAGGTGGCAATGTTTACAGTGGACAGCACTCTGTCCTCCAATTTTATTTCATTTTGTGACCCTATTAGGGTCTCTGCACTGCCAATGGAAGAAAAAGGGTAGGGGTGGTGGGTTATTTTTCCTAGGACAGAAAAGCGCAGACGGATCAAAAATCATTCTCGGGAGCGCAAAGTTCAATGCGTTTTTCACTATGCTAAAATTTCTAGAAACAGAGTTACCAGGTACGTAACTCCAATTTTTGTCTGCATGCCTGTTTATCAATTCCTGTCCTGACAGAAAGTGAAGGGAATTCTCCCCAATAGGTACATGCTCTGCAATAAAAACCTCACAAAGGCTCTAACCCCTGCTAGCTATCAAAACTAAGATTACATTTTGGCTGGAGTCATCTTTAAAACCCAATTGAACTTGGTGTAAATTAGGTAAATACATCAAAGCTGTATCAAAACCAAAGGTTTGCAAAGTCTTACAGCTAGTTTTCTTTAGAAAACAGCCACAGAGTAGTAAAACCCTTCCTCTGCTTGCCGCTGTAGGGAAGTACTGGTCTTTCTGCTCTGCAGTCAGAAAAGTTCATGCTTTCTTCTGATTGGAGAGCCACATGTCTGACTGAGCAGAGCCTGTGTGGGGCCTCTGCAGAGAGACTACTGCTTTTATACAGAGAAAGTTAAGAAAAGTCCTTCTCTACAGCATTCTGGCAGGGGATTTCTAATTGGACAGTGGTTGCTTTCAAATGAAAGCAGACTCTTAAGTCTAGGGCTGAAACAACTAATCGATTAAATCGATTATAATCAATAATGAGAATCGTTGTCAACGATTCTCATTATCGATTTAGTTGATTTTTGATTAGCGGATTCCCACATTCTCCTCCCCGCTGGTGCTGGCTGCAGCAATCTGTGTCCCTTTCAATCCTCGCTGCTCTCCCTGCCTGTATCGGCAGAGGCAGCGTAGCACAGACCACTGAACCTGGCATCACGGGAAGAGACTGGGGTGACTCTGCATTCCCCCACTGCCTCGGAGGGATTGATGAAACACCGACGTCAAGTCTCCAATCAGCAGCTGGAAACAATAGCCAGCCTGCTATGGGATATTTTAAATTGCAATAGCCAAAAGCACCCGCCCACTGCCTGCTGAACTTTCTCCTTAAGTTCCCTCCTGCTGATTGACAGCAGGCAGTGGGTGGGTGCAATAACCAGCCTGCTATTGGGTATTGTAATTTAAAATAGCCAATAGGAGGCTGGCTATTGCTCCCAGCCACTGCGTGCTGTACTTACATTCAGCTCAGCAGGCAGCTGACATTCCTCAGTGAAGTAGAAAGGTGACACTAGGGGTCTAATAGAACCTGTCATCTCAAATGTGCCATCACATAAAGGGCTTGTGAGCCCCCCCATGTGATAGCAATGAAGTAAAAAATAAAAGTTAAATAAAATTTAAGAAAACCCCCCCCACAAAAAAAGTTTAAAGTCCCCCGACCCCGCAAACGGGCGGGACACATACTAGAGGTATCACAAGTCCGGGTGCACCTACGTATGAAAACGACAATTGAGCTGCACATTTTAGGTATCGGCGCATGCGCCAGAGTGAGAGCAATAGTTTTCCGGCTAAGTATTCATGGCTAACTCCTAAACTGATGACCGGGCTTTTATTTATCTTAAATACAAGTTTGGCTATTTTATTGGAGTTTTACAATTTACATTATTTTAAATCCATGAGACTAATTTAAATGTCTAATATAATACAATTATTTAAATATAAAAGGTGGGAAAATAAATTTTTGGTTTTGGCCTGACAAATTCTGCTGCCTTCCAGTGTCGTGTGATTGCAAAAAATGTGCATACCATTTTATTCTGAAGTAAACTTTGTTTGTAACACTGCATTTGTGTATTTTTTATGTTAAATAAAGGATGGTATTTTTTTTTTTTCTTTAACCGAAAAAAAGAAATAATAAACCAACTAATCGATTATGAAAATAATCGTTTGTTACAGCCCTATCTAAGACTTTGTACTTTTGATGTACTTGGAATGTACTTTTGATGTACTTGGAATATATTTAGCGGATTTATACTGAAACTTCAGTTGGGCTTTAAGAGATCTAGTTTAATTTCATCTTTACAGAAGAAAAAAGCCAGAACTTTACTGTAACCTGATAAACCTGTCCAGTGTTTTATAAGAAGTGGAGTAAACTGTGTCAGTTCCTGTCTCTTCTTCATTTTTAAGCTTGTGGAGAAACATTGCTAGAGTCAAGTGGTAATTTTTCTGCTCCTGGTTATCCAAGTGGTTATCCATCCTATACGCATTGCATTTGGAGAATCTCTGTTACACCTGGAGAAAAGGTATTAAGTGCTTAATTACTTTAATTGCTTGGGTAGACTTAAAGTGACATTAAACCCTAAGATTTTTTTACATAAAACAATACTGTAATGTGTGCCTTTTATATATATATATATATATATATCATCATGTCCACTGAGGTAATACAGGTATATCACTGTGTCCACTGTGGTAATCCAGGTATATCACTGTGTCCACTGTGGTAATCCAGGTATATCATCATGTCCACCGTGGTAATCCAGGTATATCATCATGTCCACCGTGGTAATCCGGGTATATCACAGCGTCCACTGTGATAATCGAGGTATATCACAGCGTCCAGTGCGGTAATCCAGGTATATCACAGCGTCCACTGTGGTAATCCAGGTATATCATGGCGTCCACTGTGGTAATCCAGGTATATGATGGCGTCCACTGCAGAAGATGGGGAAAAAAAGCGTAAGGTTCCCCCCCAATTCATACCAGACCCTTTAGGTCTGGTAGGAATGTTAGGAGGGACCCTCCCCCAAGATAAAAAAAAAAGTGCGTGGCGTTCCCCCAAAATGCATACCAGGCCTTTAACAGTCCTACCAGACCCTTGATCCGAGCACTAGCCCGGCAGGCAAGGAAAAGGGGGGGGGGCGATCGAGCGCCCCCCTCCCTGCGCCTTACCAGGCCACGTGCCCTCGACATTGCCGATGGGGACAAGGGCCTCTTCACCACAACCCTGACCTGGTGGTTATGGGGGTCTGCGGGCAAGGGGGCTTATTTGCATCGGGGTAGCCCTTTAAATAAGGGGGCACCTAAATGCCGCCCCCCCTTGTGAATGAGTAAGGGGTTCTTGTACCCCTACCCATTCACTAAAGGGTTAAATCAGTTAGTAAAAAGTCCAGGCTTTTGATAAAATCCTCTAATTGAAAAAAACTGTAAATTTTTGACTATTCCTTTAATTAAAAAAAAAATGGCTCCATCGATGTAATCCAGCGTCAATCACGGTGCACGACCGTCGCCAAAATAAAAAAAAGTCCCGCCCCACGACCACCAACCGAACCCGACAAAAACTAGCCGCAAAATGACATTCAGCCCAAAAATAAACAGATGGGCAAAAACGAACCGTGACGTCACAGCTCGCTCCGCCCATTTGACACTCTCCGCTGTCAAATGCTACATAGCATTCGGGAACTCCCGAATACTATTCATGAGTTTCCGAATGCTATTCGAGTCTGTGAGCCGAGGTGTGATAATGCTTTTCAGATGACACCGCGGCTCACGAACCTCTTCTGTCTTCGGCGTCCCACTTCGTCAAGGAGACACGCATGCGCCCGTTGCTAGATGCCGCGCAGGCACAGAAAGGCCGCGGCGCAGTAGAAGAAAATGCTGGTGCATTGTGGGGATTGTAGGCACCAGTTCGGCTAGTGGTGAGCGCGCCTTAGACCGGAAGATAAAGAACACCAGGAGAAGGAGAGGGGAGTGATGCCGGACATTCAAGATAAGTTTTAGTATGATTTTTTTTTTTTAAATATCAAAGCTTATTAGATAAAAAATACTAAACTATATAGAGAAAAAAAATCAAGACTTTAATACCACTTTAAGGTCTGTATAATGGACAGCAAATGATCTGCTCCATGCCACTGTACCTTCTAAAGAAATGAGTGTGCAGTGCTATAGGTGCTTCATATACAACACAGATAATGATTGTGCTGAATCTCTCCAGTGATAAGTGTGATCCTTTTTCAGGAGTGTAAAAAAAAGCTTTAAACAAATAAGCAAAAAATAAGCAACATTATGTGGACAAACTGCAATCGATACTAAGTGATCTCAGTGTGACAATACCCTTATCTATTTAGAGGGAAACAGGTTTGTGCATCATAAATGAAAAATTCACTGTGTAGCTGTATATCGGCTGGAATGAAAACATAATCAGATCATGATCAATAATCGGTGATAATCTATCAAACGGAAGTTCAAATGTGATAATAGTGTATAAAGTCCAAAAAAATCGAAGCCCAAACAGAAATATTCCAACACCGCTGTGCAAGTGTCCACGAATCCCCCTCTGGGGTGCGCACTCACCCCACGGTTATGGAAAATAAGCAGTGTAGATGGATCCAATACGTCCACATTCAAAATATTCTGTCCAGCAGTATCCCGTCACTCGAGTATTGATGTAATCATACAAGAAAACTCCTCATAGTGTGGCAAGTATACACATTTATTTTAAAAAACATAGAAAACTTAGTTAAAATAGCAAAAACCGGCTGGTCAAATCACAGCGCCAAATACAGCATCCGCAGGGCATGTACTTCCTGATAAAGCGTGGTATCACATGGAGTAGGCACGCCCCGACGCGTTTAGTCACAGTCGACGTCCTCAGGGGGGTTGCAGGTCAGTACCTGTACACTGTACCTTCTGCAAAGACTTTGGTTTTTGTTTTGTTTTTTTATACATTTTTTGCTTGTTGCAAATGAGTTTAGCAAATAGGATTTGATAAATTAGTATTTTACAAGTAGTAGTTTCCGGGTTTAAGGGGTAACATCATCCAACATTGTGAAATAGACGGGGATTTACTGAACTTTGTAATGGTATTTACAACTATTATTGTCCCCTCTACACTACACTGGATTATGGTATATTCATTGTGGCAGTTGGTAAAAGTTTAATTATGTATTTGTGTGTAAAATGTCATCGATTCTGCCACTACTGTTGTCACCACAGTTAATAATTGATCCCAGAGAAGCCCTCCGTGTCATAATCATATGAATTCAGTTAAAGGAGTTGTGCATGTGAAATTGAGTGAATGCACCATAAAGGAAACTGTTTGGTGATTCTGACAATGTGATTGGTTAGCTTACTGGGTAGGAGCTTAGTTCACTATTAATGATATGATTTTGAGTTTTAGGAGCTTTAGAAATTTAGCAATTAAAAAATAACTTCCCATTGTTTTTAAAGTATTAGTAAACTCTCAAACTTTTTTTTTCAATAATGAATCAAGGTCAAACAAATAATACATTGCCCAGCAAAGGGCAATTTTTTTTTAACCCAAGCACTTAATCATCATGTTTCTGAACCTCTGGGTCCAACTCTCTCAGCTTGGCTTTCCTGAACTTCCTGTCTAGTACAAGATCACAAGAGCAGTCTCCAGTAGCTGTCCATCTACTAGCTGTGTTTGTATAGACACACAGCTTACTAGCACACAAGCCACTGTAAAATGGGATATCAGACTATGATGAGGAAGTAGTTTATGAAAGTTCAAGTAAGCAATAGAAACATGTACAATTGTGCACCTGCAATATGTACAAGTATATGCTTTGTGAGGTGCTGGTCAGGGATGATTACTCAGATATGGTATCTACACTAGAAGCACTGAAAAACAAAATAATGGAAGCTCAAAACAAGGTGTGTAAACCTTTCCAATCCCAAAGACATACAGTATAAAATTTCTTTCAAAGTCACAGAGTGGAATGAACAGTGGAAATAAAAGTCATAGAGTGAAATATACCTCTATACCATTATAGAGTTTTATAATGCTCTCAAATAAAGAGAGCGGTATAACTCGGAGAGATCCTATGGACCAGGTCACAGTAAACATTTTTTATCCCCCAGTAATGTTCTAAGTATTCTTTTTGTTTTTTGTTGGAATCCTTTACACTTTTTTTAACCCATTATCACTTTAATTTTGTTAAATCCTAAATGCCCTGTAAGAAATGTTGTGGTAATGACTCTGATTTTGTTGTTTTAGATAGTTCTGAATTTCACAGAAATTGACCTTTTTAAAAGTCGACTATGCTGGTACGACTACATAGAGGTTCGAGACGGTTATTGGAGAAAAGCACCATTACTAGGTATAGGCTATTCATAAAATGTGAATAGTAGTATTCTGACAAAATGCTGCCACATATGTGCTCATGAAGTATACCCAGGAAACGGCCATACTGTTTAAGGCAACACTTATTTGAATGCCAGTAAAATATATTTTTATGTTTTGTGTTTTTTTCAAATGAGTCTAGTAGATTTGTCTATAAATGGGTGAACTATTTCGCTTTGTAGTCCATATCCTTTCTCCTAGTAAAGCCTGACACACAAGACAAAGTCGAGTCCTTTATTCCTTGGGTAGATTCCTTTTTCATTTATTGTGAAAAACTAATGTTGAGTGCATGTTAAAAGGCAACTAAAATCAATTTTGTCTAAGTTTTTTTTGTTTAGCTGTATGTTAAACAAGTCATTTCATTAAATTATGTTTCTCATCTACAGTAATTACTAATTAGTGACACAGATTATATGATCTGTGGAAACCTAAAAAAAAAACTTTTAAATGTAAGCCTTCCAGTGGTATTTGAGGACTGGAGTTCATAAGCACAGGCTGATAACATCCCTCAGAGGCTCCCCTGCAACATTTCTAGTAGAAAATATCCCCCTTATAGTTCAGATTTCCAAATATTAGCTTTAATAGAACAAAAAACAACAAATGAAAAGCCCTGTATCAGTAATGTTGTTCCAAAATTTGAATGGTAGCTTCCACCATATATCTGCCATAGAACAAAACAAAAACAAATGTACCCCCTCAAATAGTGGTATACCCACCTATGAATCTCTCCAAATAAAATATCTCCAAATAACTAGGAGCATAAACATTTTATTTAAATGTGAAAAAACTAAATAATATAAACAAATATATGAACAGATGTTTATTTAGTTTTTCAGTTTTGAATAAAATGTTTATGCTCCTAGTTATTTGGAGATATTTTCTCTGAGAGATTCATAGGTGGCTATACCACTATTTGAGGGGGTACATTTGTTTTTGTTTTTTTGCTCTATTACAGATATATGGTGGAAGCTACCATTCAAATTTTGGAACAACATTACTGATCCAGAGCTTTCCATCTAGTCGTGGTAGATTTACTAACGAGGCATCGTCAGGGACTGTCACCCACCCCTTGTGCATAAGGTGCAATGTTTATTTCAACATTAGCTTTAATATACTTAAATAGCTCATAAAACTGGAAACCAAATATATAAGAAGTCTTTCGATGAGGGCCAATTAAGTCAAGTATACTTAAATGTAATATGTAATATAAAATAGAGGGGGAAAAAAACTTTTACATTACATTTTACAAGAAAGCTGCTATGTTTTGCTCGAGAACTAATATTAGGCTCTTGACCAACAACTGCTCGTCACTGGCTTATATCACTCTCGGAAAACTGTTTACAATTCACATAAGCTAAGAAAATGAGTGCAAAACTGGAGCAGTTGCCTGCAGTAAACCGATAGCTTCCTTTGCCTCATTTGGAACATGAAACCAGATTAGTTACTATGTACAGCTGCTCCAGTTGTTCACCATTGTCCTGGTTTTTTTTTTTTTGGATTTTTTTTTTGAATTTTTTTTTTTAATCATTTTTTTTTTGGTCACCCCATAGTAGTTCCATTCAGTAGTTTGCAGTAGTTTGTCCTACTAACCATTTTTTTCTTTCTTTCTTTCTAGGTAGATTATGTGGGGATCATATTCCAGAGCCAATAATATCTACAGACAGCAGGCTATGGATTGAATTCCGAAGTAGCAGTAATATCCTTGGTAAAGGGTTTCTGGCTTTTTATGAAGGTAGGTGCCAGTTCAAAGTGCATCCTGGAATAGACATACAATTATCATAAATACAAGTGTTGTACTGGGTGACAGGTAGTAACTGCTATTGTTGGGTTTTAAAACGCAACTTAGAGGGCTGATTATTATAAAAATTATTATTATATATTCATCCAGATATTTCTGTACTGCATCACTCCACCTGACTGCAATTATGTGTAATCTTGTGATCCTGGAACAGATTTTTTCTGGTTTGCAAGTGCTAAGATGTTTTTTATATTTTCCATTCAGATTCAAACCTGTTTTGGAAGTTTTAACATGATTGGTGATACAGGAGAGAGGAGTTGCACAGTACAGGTTCTATGAAGTACATTCCAACTGACCCGATATGGAGCCATGTGGGCTGAAACGGTAATTCCAGTCTCCCAAAAAATGTGGGAAACTGAATTTATCCCCACAAATTGTTACCCTCTGCCCTCCCCAGTAGTTGCACTTTTGGGGGAACCACTGTACCACCCATGCCCACCATGAGATCGTTAGGTGGGAAAGTCCTGTGTAACCTGTGAGCTACCAGTCTTGCTTACACAGGGCTATAGACTCTGTTGTTCAGTGTCCCAGCACTGTTGCATGCTCCTATATACCTGGAGGTATGGGGTATTATCTTCTGCTGCCTTTGCAGAACATAGTAGTGGAGAAGTGAAGAAAAGGTAAATATATGCTGGGAAGAGGTGATGAGATTAAAGCATACCTCAGTTTTGTTTTAAGAGTCGACGATGCCAAGAGAAATTTGAGTCAAAAAATAATTTCCTGATTGTAATTGGTAGTCATTTTTTTCTGTTATAAATGCTATTGTATATCATTGCATTATACCTGGTCATATGTTCTAACTTGCAGATATTTGTTACTTCCAGCTATATGTGGAGGCAGTTTAAAAAAGGACACGGGTCAGATACAATCCCCCAATTATCCAGATGATTATCGGCCAGATAAACACTGTGTTTGGACAATTTCAGTCTCCGAAGGATATGTAGTTGGTCTTACCTTTCAAACGTTTGAGGTGAGCTACTTGTTGGTACAATTAATCTTTATTTAGACTTTCAGGCCTTTTAGTATAATATACTGTTCATTGATAAAATACAAGTTGTCCTGGTTCTATTTCACTGTACTATTTGACCTTATAAAAAAGGATAAGGGTCTCTTTGAGCTGTCAAAAGTAAGTTCTATAATTTTTGGATCCTACAAGAAGTCTTGCACAACAGTAAGGTACAATAGCTATTCTAGTATTTGTAAATGTGGCTGTTGAGCCTTCCAGTTCCATCATCACTGGGTATCTTTCTCTAATTTATATTTTAAACGTTTTCCATTTACATTTGTATGTGTTATGCTCCCACTGTGTATGGCAAGTTTTTGTTTATTTTTTTAGTTTTCTCTCTATTCTAAGGGACAGTGGGTTGTGAGACTGCAAAATAATAGTCGACCCCTGAAATTCGCAGGGGGTTACGTACATAGAGCACACACGAATTGTGAAAAACCACATATTTCGAATGTGGTAAAAAAAATGCCTATAAATGCCTATTTTTATGGTTTAAACCCTAAATATGCCCCCCAAACACTTCAAATTAATTTCAAACTCAGCTTAATACATTACCCTTAAAAAAAGAATGTAATGGTAAACCCTATACTGTACAGTACTGTACGGTACTGCTATGTCTCCGGCAGTACTAGAATGTAAGATACTGATGTTACCCCTATATGGGAAAAATCCGAGAGCGACTGAGGCTGCGTACTCTGAACCGAGACTTCGCAGGGGTCGACTGTAATAAAATTTTATGGGTTATACATTAGTTTAAAATAACTGGTTTACCAAGATTCCTTTAAAGTGGAACACCATACATTTTTGTTCTGGTTTTTGCATAAAGAAGTGTAGAAGGGTTTGTAGTTCTGTAATTTATTGCAGTCTGTGTACCCATTGGTGGTTAACTTTAATATTTGTCCTTAGCACCTCTGTCATTGACACAGAAAAAGGAGTGAAAGCCTAGAGTGCTACCATTGCCACAAGAACTGGAAATGAAATGGGGAGGGGGGTAGCTTCCGGTAGGGTCATTTGCTTCTGTAAAATCTTGATAAAGTGGCATTGTCCCTACATTTGCTGAGATTTTTGTCTACAGGACAGGAAATCTCTACAGTGCAGGGTGGAAAATAAATAAGTTGTAAATCTTCTCCCTCTAGTCAATAAAAAAAAATATGTGGTGTCTAGGTCGGTTAATTATGTTGTTTATTATGGCCATATAAAACATTTTTTTGTCTTACAGTTTGAACCACATGATAATTGTCTGTATGACCACCTTCAAATACGTGATGGTCCTTCAGAAGATAGTCCATTTATTGGGCAGTTTTGTGGCTATGAGAAGCCTGATGACATTAAATCTACCTCTAATACTCTGTGGATAAAATTTTACTCTGACTCTTCCATCAATAAAGCTGGATTTTCTGCCAACTTTTTCAAAGGTAATTGTGTCACAACCATGGATGACGGTTGATTTTAGCTGTTTTTGACTTTTGTTTTGTATTTATGTGTGACCGTACATCATTACCTAATTTAAATTTTACCTAAAGTAAATGATAAAGATATATACAGTTACTTGATAATCAATTGTAGCAATTGGTAACTGTTCATGCAGAGTGCTAGATAAAACCAAGTGATTTGGTATTTTAGAATTTGGATTAAGGTTACTGGTATCTGGTAATGGTAATAGTATTCTGTTTCACTTTGTTAGACTGGTCAGTATATGGGCAGTATCTTGGTATTTATCCAGTTTTCCTCATCAAAATCATGTTTATACCATTTTCTAGTACTTCTACTTTCAGAATTATAATTTTCTGCACTATGTCTGAAAAGAGTCTGAGTTGTCTCAAAAGAAGTTAATGTTGCTCTACACGGGTAGAAAATAAAAGGGGACCACTTTATTTTATTTTTTTTTTTTTTTTTTTTTTAAGAAATCCGCAAATATGCTCTTAAGACCTACTTGTATGAAAACAGTTCCCAGAAAGTAGGTAATGAATTGGGCCGGCTGTAGGTGGGATAATGGATAGGCTGTAAATGTTTTGAAAACAAGCCACACCTGTTCCTTAGCTTGCGAATGCTAATATGTTTGTTACAGTGGTCAGAATGTGTTGGTCACATGCATACTGAAGATTGCCCAGTCAGAATATGTACATGGGAAACCTATACAGTGTATATGTATATATTCTATTTATGTGTGTGTGCATGAATTTTCTACTAGCAAAGTCTCACTGGCTTCTAAATGTGTAAACATGTCTGAACAGATTGTTGAAGCATTTAGGAGCCAGTCAATCCAATCTAAGAGCCAGGAGATGCCTTTTATTACCCAGGTAGCATCTGCTTCCATTAACAGTCAAAATGAAAGGCTATACCACACTGGTCACCAGTCCTTATTTTATATGCATGTTGGCTGCTGGATTTTGTCCAGTCCTGTGTATAACCCCCCTGTGATTCATATTCTGCATTGCAGTAATTTTAATTTCAAGATTTTGATGTTCAGCTGTATGCTTTGTGTCTGGGGGTTCTTGGAGTGGCTACTTACAATATTCCAGAGTCATCAGTAGCCTAAACACATAAAAGATCATTGGGTTGATTTACTAACCTTATAAACACACCACGAACATGTATACACCTCTGTAGTGTGTTCCCTCCCAGCATGATCTATGGGTGGAATCTAAACACCTTTGTAGTGTGTACACACCCAGCAGGTGTGTTGTGCAAAGCCAAGCATTAATTGCAAGGGGATGTTGTGTAAATTAGCTCTATGTTGTGTTGCTTGCATTGATGAATGCAGGAATGTAAATGCATGAGCTAACCATTTTTGTCTAAACTGTGAAGCAGCATTATATATGCATCATGTGCATGATTTTTCCATATGTGGCATTAGTGGAAATATGCTTTTAGAGACTTTTTGGTTGATAAATACGTTTTGCTGTGATAAAATCACACGCACCTGGTGCGTGCGTGTGTTTTAGGTTAGTAAATCACCCCCCATGTGTTTGTCAATGGCAAGGGTGGCATTATAAAAACAATGTGATAACTATCTCGCACTATGCTGAGAATTTTTTTGATATTTGTGTTCAGGCTCTAAAAAGGTACATCTGTGACTTCTTGTTCGTAAACATGCCATTACCTGATTTAAGCATTTCTGCCTTTTTTTATTTTTGAAAAGAGATGGATGAATGCGCAAGGCCTGATAATGGAGGATGTGCTCAGCGTTGTGTTAATACTCTGGGAAGTTACAAATGTGTCTGCGATCCAGGCTATGAACTCACTCCAGACAAGAAAAACTGTGAAGGTGAGTATATCTCTGTGTAAGAGATCAAAGCTGTAAGCATTATTTGGGAGAATGACAAATATCTGGTCATATGTAGTATTATGTAGATCTAAACTGTAGTTTGCTGCTGTAATAACACAGATGACAAGTTTTGTTATGTATCTTTTATAAGAATGACACTTCTGGCTTTGGAAAGATGTTTTATATGTATAGTTCTCACAGGTCTAGATTACATGTTAGACACGCCAGGTCTTCGCTTGGAGGTATCTGTGGCCAGTTTTAACAGAAAACTTTTTTAATGGGTAAGAACATTTTATGGATCTGATCCGTTTTTGCTACTTTGTCTCCTAGTTATGTAACAGTGTGCTTTAAATGCACTTTGTGGAGGAAAAACCTTTCACTTGAGGCAGTAAGGTGTTTCTGTTCTTGACTGCTTATGTAATGGATGAACATATTACCTTTACAAACCATTTACAAAAGCCTGATCTTCATATGCAGTTCTAGCATGCCCAGCAAAATTGGGATGAGATGCCATGTAACAATGGTTAATGCTTAACTGGCATCGATGTTGAGGTTTTCTTCTCTTATCAATGTTCATGATTTCCTTTCTCTTGTAGTTGCCTGTGGAGGTTTTATCACAAAACTAGATGGAACAATAACAAGTCCTGGCTGGCCAAATGAATATCCTATGAACAAAAACTGTGTGTGGCAAGTGGTAGCTCCAGCACAATACAGGATATCCCTGCAGTTTGAAGTCTTTGATCTTGAAGGCAATGATGTAAGTTGTACAAATTAAACATTTACTCTGTTGTTGCTGTTTTTCATTTTTTTCTTGAGTTTCTGTGCAACAAACTGTATTAATCTCACATGATGCCTTCTCTAGGTTTGTAAATATGACTATGTGGAAATCCGCAGTGGCCTAACTTCAGAGTCAAAGCTGCATGGAAGATATTGTGGCTCTGAAAAACCAGAGGTCATTACATCACAAGGCAATGGTATAAGGCTGGAATTTAAATCTGATAACACGGTGTCCAAAAAAGGATTTAAAGTAAACTTTTTTTCTGGTAAGACTTTCATTTAATATTGGAATTTTAGAAGTAACACAAAAAACCCCTCCGGTTTCTACCCGAGTGCTGCCTACCTGGGATAATACTTGCCTTCAGCCCCATTCCAGTGATCTTTGCTCTGATATGGTCTTGGCCAGCTTTTATACTGCACATGTGCTCCATGGAACAATTTATTCCTATGAGTAGCTGTACTAAAGGTGGTCTCCAGGGGTCCCTCAGAGTACGGCTCACTCATAGGAGTAAATTGTGCCTCTGGCACGCAAGCTGTATATGAATAGAAGCTGACTGGGAGTAAGTTGGGGTTAAGAATCTCTGGACTGGGGCTGGACTTGAAAGTAAGTGATATCCAGGATGGGCTGGACTTAGGCAATATTAAATTACAATTCACTAAAGACATTCAGTGTGGAAATACTTGAAAAACCTCAATTAGGCTCCGTTTACACCACGGGTTCAGCGTTTGGCACATCTTTACACATGTGAAAACGCGCACACATGAAGACACTGCGTTTCTACTGCTCGAAAACACCTGTGTGTGAACCAGGCCTTGCATTTTTTTATGCTTTGTGTGCCTTCCGGTCCAAGTGTCCCCTGTTCACCTAATTTCTTATCCTGGTGACACTGAGTTGTTCATGTTCATCTCCCCAGGTGAAGTCAGACAGAAAAAAAAATAGGTTCTAAATTTTCCCTGCTCTATTTAAAACTAAAACTGGGTACATTGGTTTCCAGATCTGCCGTATATTGTAATTGCTACCAGTGGTGGCAATTACAAGGGGTACCATTCTCTCTGTTAAATTTTTCACTTACACACTGGGAAATTGGAAACAACCATGGTATAAAAAAAATAGGGACAAGGCAAGTGAGAGCAAAGACCATAATTAATGGCATGGAAATCTAGCTACTATATAGTGCCTAAGAGATATACAAAAGTGGACAAATTTGTTGGTATATTGCCATTAAAAAAGAACCCACTATTTTTTTCTGAAATAACTTGAAACTAACCAAAGTAATTGGCATCCATCATCATTTATTCCATATTTAATACAAATCAGACTTGGCTCTTTATTTTTTATTCAACAGAACATCCTAAATAATAAAACATATGAAAATGGCATGGACAAAAATGATGGGACCCTGACATATTTTACTGCATAACTTTTAGAGGCAATCACTGCAAACAAGCAGTTTCTGTGGATATCAATGAGACTTCTTCACCTGCCAACAGGTAGTTTGGCTCACTCTTCATGAGCAAACTGTTCCACCTGTCGAGTTTAAAGGGTGCCTTCTCCAGACTGCATGGTTCAGCTCTTTCCATAGATGTTCAGTAGAATTTAAATCAGGACGCATAGTAGGCTACTGCAGAATAGTCCATTGTTTTGCTCTTAGTCATTCTTGGGTGCTTCTATCTGTGTGTTTTTGGTCATTATCCTGTTGGAGGACCCATGACCTGTGACTGGGACAGCTTGCTGACTCAGGGCAGTACATTTCAGTTCAGGATTCCATAGTCTTCAGATTTAATTGTATCCTGTACAAATTCTAGGCACTCTGTCCCAGACAAAGCAAAGCAGCCTCAAAACACAACAGTGTAGTTGAGCCAGAAAGACAGCCAAACAAACGTCCAATGAACTTTATGGTTTTCACAAATGTAAACAGGGAAGCAAAAAGGAGCCAACGTGCTTCAGGGCTTGAACGTCTTCCTTTTATCAGGACTACAAAAAATACAAGAAATAAAAATGACCGTGGGGAAAAATGGATAAAAAGAAACATAAGTGAAGTAAAACTCAAATCAATATCTATTTAGTAAATCTCAATATATATTCAATCACAAAATGTCCATTAGAAGCAGTTTGTTCCAATTATAAAAGCAAAGTCTAAAGTCTAGTAATGGAATAAAATACAAGCTCAATTTGAGTTATGCCTGTGAGGAGGAAAACTGTGGCCGCAAAAACCACTGTGAAAATGTAACAAATGATCCTAAGCATTATTCCCATCATTTCAAAGCACAAAAAAAGATTCTATATAGGCGATTGACTATGTGCTTTATCTGGAACACTTGCCCTGTATAAGTAAGGGGATTCTATACGATGCTGATTGCATTCATAAAACCAGATGAGATTAAGGCCATGCAACCTCTGGTTCACCAAAGACAACAGAAGAAAGAGTACAAAGCTCCACAATGGAGTTTTACACCCACAAATGGACCAGTCCCCAGTGTATTTATTCTTCAAGCCTTGATAGTGTTTTATTTAACAATTGGACACCTTTTGACACACAGTTAAAAGGTATGTGTTTTTCCATTTTATCATCTCTGGTCTTATATCCATGTTCACCTGTCCTAGTTGGAACATAAAACAGAACTTTATTATGTCTATCTTGCATTTTATGATATTATGAATACCTTTGGTCATGTTCTATCTGGAACACCTTTCACCGTTTTGTCACTTGTTTATCATTTATACGGGGAAGTGAGATCTATTGGCATTCATTCTCTTTTCTCATGGATTTGTAACAAATGTTTGCTGTTCTAGGTTTAACTAGTTATATAGTAATCAAATGTATTGTAATTCAATGCGTTTGTTTTTTTACAGTAAAAGTATGGTTGTAAAATTCCTTTTGTGGAGCCATGTACTCTTTCTTCAGTTGTCTTTGATCAATCCAAAAGTTGTGTAGACCTAATCACATCTGTTTTTATGAATGTTCCCTTTCTTATAGAGGGCAGTGTTCCACAGTGGGTTCCACAAGACCCACAGTTACCTATGTGGATACATAATCCCTTTTTGTGCTTTTCAGTAACGGGAATAGATAATTGTTTATGTTTTTATATTTTCAAATGGTTTTTGGGGCCCACCGCTTTTCGCTTCTATTTTATTTTATAACTAGATTTTAGACTTTTGGTTTTATATTTGCTACAACCTCCCTCCAGTGGGCATTTTGTGAACTTGTATTGATAGCTATATGGATATTGATTTAATCTTTAATTGTGTTTTAATCGATTGTTTTCCCCAGCCACTATTTTTATTACTTGTATTTTTTGTAGTACTGAGGAAAGGGGAATTTCTGGCCCCCGAAACATGTTGGGTGCTTTTTGCTTCCCTCTTGTCATTTGTGGAATCCATAAAATCCTTTAGACTCTAAAGACATTTGTTTGTCGTGCTTTCTGGCTCAACTACACTTGAACTGCTAGAGTAGGGTGATCCCCCTGCTTATGAGGGTGCCTCTGATTTTGTGGAGATCTTCTGAATCTAAGCCATTGGGCTCATACAAAGTTCTGTTTCTACTGTCTATAGGTATGTGTCCAGTGCCTCAATTCAACTTTTTTCCAAAACATAGCCAAGCCTCATACATGTTTCACAGTATGTACAATGTTCTTTTCTTTAAAAGCTTCATTTTTGCATCTGTGAAAATAGAGCTGTAGTGGCTCTTTGCCTACAATTTGCACAATCCTTCTGTTCAATCTGGGTTCGATTTTCCTCTGGCAGCCATGTCCAGGGAGGTTGGCTACATTCCCATGGACCTTTAACTTGATCCAGAGGAAGGCAAAAAAAGCTTATAAAGCATGGTGGCTGTGTATGATGTGTGCTCAACATCTTGGTCTGACATGCATTTTTCAGGGGCATTGGCAAAACACCAGGGCTTCAACCTTTTGTTTTGTGTACAATATCTGCTTTTTTTTTACAAGCAAGAGCTCACTCAACACAGGTCAAAGAAGGAACCTTAATTATTGACCTTAAGTCCCCAAAGAATTGTTTTCCACATTGTACTGATGGTTTAAAATGTCTTTTAAATGTGTTCAAGCACAGGTGGTCCTGAATAGGCAGTAATTGTCCATCAACTGGACACTGTAGGTACAACTGAAACAACCAGTGCAAATGTTATAGGTTAACTGTTTTCAAGTGGCAACTAATCAAAGCTGTATCTGTTTTACAGATAAGGATGAGTGTTCAAAAGAAAATGGAGGCTGTCAGCATGAGTGTATCAATACATTTGGCAGTTATATGTGCCAGTGCAAAAATGGTTACACACTTCATGACAATGGACATGACTGTAAAGAAGGTAAGGTCCCTAACCAAAATCTGCTGCCAAACCAGCTTCTGACAAGCCAGAAGTACTCCCATTACAACTTGGTACAACTTTCAAGCTGCAGGGATTGTAGTCCACATACATGATTTCTGTCATTAAATCCTGATTATGGGATTGTGGATTTGGACCCCTAAAACGCATTGGCTACTGAACTTGAATGCCCCCTGACCCTAAAGGAATAAAGTTGTATCTGGACTATTGTAAATGGTGTAGCGCTTCAATTCCTACATCTACTGTGTCCACTGTCGAGCTAAGCATACTGTGGAGATTCTTTGGATTACAGAAGCTGCCTACCCATCAGCCAGATCACACATATTCACATCACTTACTAATGGATGATGAACACCAAGACCATAACCACACAGGTCCAGCGCTTTCCACAGTTCCAGCTGAACAAAATCCGTCCTAACAGAAATATGAGAGCTTCTCTAGTTTACTCTTTTCTTAAAATGCTTTCTGCCTGGCTTGCTATACTTTTCTAATTGCTTTTGTACTTTGAGTCACTGACTTTGTAAAACAGTAGTTCTGATGTCACTTACTGCATGCTTGTTCTGGGTAAGTGATACTCAAAGTATTGACGTAGAGACAGTCAAGCAACTAGTCTTTTCTAAGGGAAATAAGGCGTGGCAGACTATGTAGTTCTTGTTTAACCGGTTTCCTTTAAATTGTTAACGCACATTGACGTTCTCATTGCACATGTAGGTTTTGTTATTATTTATTTTTTACTTGTATCTCTGCGCATAATATATATATATATATA